TTTTCAAGGCAGGTTACTAAGCGAAATCAGCAGGTACAGTTTGTAAGATTTGCATAGATGCAATCTATAATCCTGCAACGGTTTTCAAGTTTCATTTCGACCTGATTGTGGATCGTGATATTGATCCGTTACGTGCTTCGCTTTCCCTTTCTATTGGAATGGGTGCACTAATGAAGGTACGTCCATATTTTAGCAACTGCTCATTCTTTGAAGACGAAGCTACTCAGCTCACCACATTTACTCGTAGGGAATGACTGACATTGTTCTTTTGGGATATGAAGTTCATCGTTTTCAGTGTTTTCGTTGAGAAGTTAGTAAAAGGTGGTTCGATGGCCTATGCTGTAGTAAGGGTTTATTGCCGACTACGCTCTCAAATGGATAGTTGAGTGTCTTCAGTCAGTCAACGCCTACAATGTAGGTTAGCGCCCAGAAAAACTGTCAAACAAGCTGAGATGGAAAGCTATTTGGTAGGTGGTCACAGATATTATATTATATTTCTGGAAAGGAAAGCACATTCTCTCACAACGACGAAGAACTAGCAGTATCGTTTGTGACATAAAATAAGAGATGTCTAACAGAGACAATGAACGATCAATTCTGCTTGATATTTACTATGCGAATTAAGTGATTCCAATTTGCTACATCTAATCTTTCCGGCTATAGCAGGATCCACCACCGTTATGGTATCAAAGTAGTTGCATAGTAGCAAATACCCCTCTGATCCACAAGGGCTACAACTGCCTGTGCTGATGACGACTTGAGGAGGACATTGGCTTGGCTGACCTTGGGACTCCAGAGAACCACAATGGCTAAACCCGCAAATCTCCGAGGGAGAGGAGGTTATGCTAGGGCCCGCACAACCAGTGACGACGGGCCAACCAAGTATGCAAGCAATCTTTCCATTCTGACCTTACTTACATGGATATGAAAATACGGTCGCATAAAAAGGCAACAAGTTTGCACTTCTATTAAAAGAGAACTTTGGCAGAGACAAGATCATAAAGGTGACGTGGTTTATGGCGGACAACGACAGTTTTCTACCAAAGGGAAAGTGCCACAAATTCACCGAACACCTTTTTTCTCAAACGCAAAACTTAGATTTCCATAAAATGTTGGTCACATTGCACTTTTATCAATGACTCCACAAAACTCGGCATAGTTCTTCTGTTAAAAAACGGAACGTCTAGAGGGAAAAGGAGAAAGATTTTGTACGTGAAAAGAATGTTAAGAATAGGCATCAGTGCTTCAACGGATCAATATGGACAGGTTTATATGATCGCGCTGCCATTCTATCACCTTCGATTACTACTGTGATCACTTGAACAGCAGCACCCTGTTTCTTTCATACTAGATAGAGGAGTATGAATATATCGTTCCATTTGTTCTTCATTCTTCGAAATCTGTTTTTCTTTAAAATCCGACACGTTATTTCGTCGGTGACAAATCGAGGAAAACTAGATCCGGAACAGATTAGATCTGAGCACTTGAAGAACCTTCCTCCAGTCCTCATAAACAAATTGGCTTGGCTGTCCACCTGCTATCTTTCAGACTGTAATGTTCCGCTTAGTGGAAGACGAGCAAGATTTTGTTATTGCTCGCGAAGGGAGACCTCCATAATCTCGCAAAAATAGCCCAGTGTGCTTGTTATCTGTCGTTTACAAACTTTCAAAAAACTCATTGTAAACAGTATTGACGGAACACTGGACTAAGGACAATGATGTGAATAAACAGAGCTAAGAAAAGGATTCAGTGCCACAGATCACATCCACCCGATCAGTATCAGTGAAGTATTGCGAGAGTGATGCGAGAGATCGCTCCGCCTCACTTTCATCGTCTTGATTTTGACTCAATTGAGGGAGAGAGACGTTATCGAGCTCCGAACAGTCAGCATGTTGCTACTCAGTGTACAAAGATTCCTCGTGAACTATATAAAAAAATTCGCGACCACAATATGACCATTCTCTGACGATATTAACATTTATTTGAACACAAGGTTCGATAAGCCGAAACCATTTCGTCAAAATGATTTACAGCTACGTTATTTCCAAGCTGGTATAAGAGTACGCCGCTTAGAGTCAATTGTAGGCGGTTAGACCATCTTCACTTAAGAGAACAAGAAATGGATTTTTTATGCCAAGAAGAAATATTTCCGAATGTTACGGTTTTCAAGATCGTTCAGAAATAATAGCCCACCTCGAACGGCAACTACGAAGCGCTGCAATTTATTGCGGGCATAATTTCACTGTTCAGTATCAAATCACATATCCTTGGTCTAGACATCTTTGCCAGTCAGATGTTGGGTCGAAAATTCTTTCGATTGTCGAGAGGATAAGTGAATACGGTGAATGAGGTAGGAACTTCTTGTCTAATTCGTTCAAGTTTTCTCAGCACTGGCTGCAAAGTGCTGCCTAGGAAAAAAAATGGGCTTAATCTTTTGACCATTTATGGGCATAGTCCTAAAAACTGCCCTTATTGTGCTGGTGCGAGGTTTGTACAAGGTCCTGCTGTTATTATTATTCCTGTGGTTTGGTGGTTGACGGGATTTATGGGTATATGCGCAACACCTTTGTAGGATTTCGCCAAATTCTTACAGTTCCTCAGTTATGTTGCATTTTCGCCAATATTAAAGCCGTTTTATTAAGTGATTCTCTTTGCCGAAAGAAACCGCTGTAGCTACCCTTTGATGCTACGGCGATTTTGGAAAGTGTTTGTGTCCCTAGCTAACTCTAATTTCACGTTGAACCACTTCTGCTGTGAGACAGAATTCACATTTCATAGTAGGTGACAATGTGGTCGGGAAATCGACGTCCGTTCCGTTGCCTTTCATTTCAATTAATACCACATCTGTCAAGTAACTTTTTTCTTTATTTTTCACCTTTCTAATGTCAACTGAATCGCGATCGATTATGCAATCGAGACGTTTGTTTCTCTACAACTGCTCCACCATTTTTTGGAAGGGCAGCTTGGACCGTCGCCTTAGAGACTCATATCTCCAGCACGTTTCCTTTTAAATTTTAAATTTTTTTGCATAAATTGCGGCGTTTAAATTTTTTTTAAATTTTTAAATTTAATTTTTTTTTCCAGTAAACCTTTTCAAACATTTGTGTCTTGCACATTCGGAATCTCCTCTGTAGTTTAGACTTCGATGACTTTTTAGTTGTTCTCATACTTTCATGGCCAAATTTAGACCCATAATGGCACCACACTAGACCCAGTTTGTTTTTACTACATCCGTCAAACGTTTCTGTTGTAGAGTGATGCAATCATGTTTTGAGCGACAATGTTCTCAATTACTCATACATCTAAGAGGTCTTTAGCCTACAAATTCCAGAGCGTTGTGGACCTAGTAGCGCACCCGTCAAACGTGCTGAAATCAGCAAATAGAGATCAACCCTCTAAGTATTTAAAGGAATGGTATAATAGTAACACTGTCAACGCCCCGAACAACGAATTCTGGGATTCAAACCGTAAAACCCATTCAAATGTTAGCACTAGACTCCTATTCCGATTTTTAAAGGAAATTATTTCTACAACACTCATATGAGTACCCGATGAAGGAACTTCCTTGCGGATTCTGCACTCCGATGTCTACGGTGCGAAAAAACCACGAGTAGAGCCAAAGCTATAGAACTAAGTAAAGGATAAAACTAACTTCCTGGTTGACTTAAAGCTGAAAACCCTGGAATGATCACTAGAGACTTTCTGGGCAAGTGTCTCGCTTAGGAGGTAACTTTGAACATCTTAACTATCACAGGATTACCCTTTTGAACGCATTCTACAGTCGCCTCTCGAAGACTACCATTTTCAAAGCAAACGAACTTTACACTTTCACTTTGCGTAGTTATCAAGAAAACAGCGAGTACTGATCAATGCCGAGATTAAAAAGTCAGTCTTAGGAAATACTGTAAATGAACCCTGTCTGAGCTTCAGTAAATTGGGCAAGTAGGGGAGATTTTGCGTCATGGACCATAAGCCACAGCTATTGTCTTGAAAGTCTGTATGGAACAACGACTACCAACTCGTTGTCTTAACTTCGTCGGTGACAGAGAAGCATTTTCTTTCTCATGGTTCAATCAAAAAACTGAACGAGCTTTGAAGGAGGTATCATATTGAATACACATGAGTATAGAATATTACAGTTGTGAGAAACAATCATTTTTCATGTGTTTTTTCCTTGTATGTCGTATTTTTGCTGAAAATCTTCATTTCTTATACCACGGTTTCTCAAATAGGCTCCAAAGCTCTTGATTTTGTTAACTTTTTGCTTGCTGCCGACTACAATTTTTCACGGCAGGGTATGCTGCGAAATACAACCACAATGATGCTGAGATATTTGTAAAACTCCTGAGCGCAGCTGTCTCCGGTGGAGAACGAACGCGCTATTACCCTTTCCGTAGCTAACGCGTTCACCACCACACCATGCGGGTCCTCCTTTTCACCTGTCTCTCAGCTAGTTCCAACGATCGGTGCCATGATTCTTGATTTTATTTTCGTGCTTTATATGAATACAATCTGGATCACCTATAATACTATAAATCCTTTTCTACTTCGCTTTGATTCTTCACCTAAAGGAGGGATTCTTTTCTGTCAAAGGCAGCGGATTCTTGTTAGGATGTCTTAGTAAATGATATGAACAAAGCTACAGAGAAGCATAGTATTCTTCTATGTGAATGATATTCATTTTTCTTCCTCATTACTCAACGAACCATCGCTTGAAAGTATTTTAGACGAAGCACCTATAGGTATATTTACAGACTATTGAGTTCTATTTTTTGAGTCTAAAGGGAGTAGGGAATAACACCATTTCTAATCCAAAGATATGAAAAGGACAAAGTAATGGAAAGTGTACATTTGCAAATTCCATACTCATCACGGTTTATTAGTTCAATTTAGAATAGTTGTCCTCACTAAATTGAAAACCATATCCGTTCCAATAGAATAACGTTTTGAAAACGGTACAAACATTTCTCAGCACCTTAATAAGACTTGTATTTATTACGTTAAATTGGGAAAGGCAAAATTCTTGCTTTGTGTGAATCGACAAATGCTTGTAATTTACCCTTGCAGAAAAGCTTGCAATGCTCCGTCTGCAGCTCTTGCCAGAGTCCTTGAAACGGCCCCACCGATGCCGAATAAAGCCCTAAAAAAACCGAGTAGGGCGCCCCCGGTGAGGCCGGCGGTGGAGCCGGCTGCGGCTCTGACGTAGGGGTTCCCTCCATATACACCAGGATAGACGCCTTATCCACAAGGATAGGCTCCATAACCGGCCCCATATCCGCCGTATTGTTGCCTATTTGCGTATCCATATCCACCGTATCCAGCAAAAGGATTTCCGCAGTAGCCACGTTGTTGACCAGTCACTGAGATGAGAATGGCATAGATGAACAAGCAAGAGAGTAGAGGGTTCATTACTCTGGAATTTTACTAAAAATCATATACACAAGTTTGCAGAATGTCGAACACAACGGCAAAATTGCATTGCTCATTGGCACGAGAGAGGATGAAAATAGAATCATTTTTTATTCCGATTACGCTGAAAAGATCAAGGGGCGTTATGAAGATTCTTCGAGAACAAGCATTGCCTCTAGAGTGATAGGCGAAACGATGGACCTGCATGGTGTGGTGGTGAACGCATTACTCCCGGAAAGGACAGTAGCGCGTTCGTACCCCACCACAGACACCTGCGGTCCGGAGTCTTGCAAATATCTCACTATCATTAAAGTTATATTTCGCGATATATGCTCTGCCGTTAAAAAGAGTAGGTAGTAAATAATACGTCAAAATTGCCTTTATTATTCATTAAAGTGAATAAAAATTCTAGAGCTCTTGTGTTGTCTTAATTGAGATTATTTTCCTTACATTTCCGATGTAGATTTGTCATTATTAGTGAAGAGGAGAGGTGAAGGTTGGTAACGAAGCAGAGAGGCTGCTAGCCTCATAAACGAAGGAAAAGATATTGGTTTCGCTAGTTTACGTTGACTTCGTGGCAAATAACTTAGGAAGAAACACGCAGAGATGGTTAATAAACAGAAAAACACAATAATCGTGAGTGAGTATTTCGATAGAAAAGAACATCTGCTCACCACGAACTTTGTTTGACGATTGACGGCAACACCTTTTTAAAGCGCTCCTAATGTAGTACAAAACAGTTGGCATTATATTATCGAGAACCTGTTCAAGGTGTCCATCCGAAAAATAGAGACATCACGATCACAACTGTGTTGCGTTCCAGAAGTACACAATTTGAGATTGTTCATTGCCAGAACTCGTGCGGTTTAAAAAGTTACGTGTCTTGTCTGCCGCCTTTATTTACGAATGGAGCTAAATACACAACGTTTAAGAGAGACCGCGGCCACATTATACTATGCAAAACGTCTCTTTTTAAATCCTTGAGAGGAAACCGAGAAATAATTGCCGTATTCACAACAACAAAAATTTATTTTATTTCTTTTATTTTATTTGATCCGTCTTCACGTCTCCTGTGCGGATCCTAGGACTTCTCACATCTAATTCGCCTCCTCGCGTACATCGTTCACTAAGGTCTACCAAGTTTTTACGTTGACTTCGCTTGCTGCTAGAGGATTTTCATTTAATCTTGAATGCCGTAGAATGCTGGTCGAGTAGATTTTTTCTGGAGCCCTGAGATTGCCAGGCTAGAGCGTTCTTAGTTGGATTTCAGAGAGTGATTTCTTTCCCAAACAAGTCCAGTACCAATTTTCCAACCCCGGAGGGATGACAGACTTGGTTGGTCCAGCGTGGAATCGAACTAGCACCACGCTCGTGATGACGGACATCGCTACCACTGTCTATCCGCCCATTAACGAGTGCAAGGATATTTTTAGTATTTTTGAATATTTTTCGTGAACATTTGGAGAGAAATTTTTCATTGTAAGGCGCCTTGCAACACATGTGGAATCGATCCCCGCGCCTATGGCCCCCTACGCCTTCCATCCCTCCGGGTTCGGCAAATTGGTACAACACTTCCCTGGGAAGATAGCAGCACTGGCTCGATACGTTGGAAGGCCACCTCGAGTCAATGTAAAGACCAGATAGGCATTCAATCACTTCCAACGATGATTAATGAAGTCGAATGAATAGCGCATCCCTCGGGGATTGATCAACACCGAGAGCTTTATTCTTTATTTTTATGTTCCGTTGAACCTTCGAAGCTGTGGAACCTCTTGTACACTAATGTTCTTTTGGAGAAATGACTCAATTTTCTATCCGAACTACATGATTTGCGATTCTAAGAATTTGTTCACTTGTTAATATGATTCAGCGTACCCCTTCTGCTTATCGTTCTACCTCAGTTGCAAACTAGTATTATTTGCTCTTTCTGATTTGTTTTTCTAAACTGAGGCTTTCAAAACGGCGAAGCTTCCTTTTCTCCTTTTCCTTTTCATTTAAATAAATTTATTTTTATTTTTCATGATTTCTTCCGAGGTATCACTATATTAGGTTGCCAACAAAGCACTTCTGGATGGTGAGAATTGATTTTCAGTGGCAGCTTTCTCTACGGTGTACACAAATGTGTGATGAATCAAGTCTTCTTTAGGAAGCTAAAATACTAGTTCAGTGAAAAAGCACTGTACCCATTGCACTTCGAATATTGCCTCGCGTATTTCACTGACAACACTAAGAAATTCTCCTTTTAGTGACAAAGTTCACGGCCAAATGCAACGGGAACTTGAAAACGTTCAGGTCAGTAATTTCAGTGCCTCGCAGACCTAGTGACCAATCCGCCACCAGTGCGCTAAAGTATTTAAAGGACATTTGGACGAATTATTTATGTGTTTAAAAATCTGGCCAGGCCTCATCTTCGCCGAGGTGATGAAAAATCGCTAACAAATGGCAGATTAGTGTGTTGTTTGCGCAGTCCTAGTCGCGCCCAAAATTTGCCAAAACTAATTTCTGCGACCAGCAAAACGTACAATTTGTAAAGCGCATATGCCATATGTCTTTGTACCTAACAACCTTACTTTGTGAATATACCTATTTTCACAAGTCATGTTGGAGGAACATTTTTCCTCGTGGTTTTACCGTTATGCAACTTCTCTGTGGTTAGGATTTACATCTTGTTGATTAAGGATCTGTCGTCTTGCCTCTCCACTGGATAGGCTGAATGTCAACCAAATGCTTTTTTTCCTTGAAACTCTCTGAGGACCGTGCTAGCGCTACCTGTGGTCGCTGCCTCCATCACAGAGAGGTTCTGGCTTCTGTAGAAGGTTGCTGCAAAAGCTTGATGCTTTTCAGGGGCAGCGGCATGTTCTGCCACTATTGAACTGGAAAAAAAAGTAAGGACTTCTTAAACAAATCACCGACTAGAAATTAAAAAGTGCTCAACGGAACAGAATCGGAGCGCTTTAAATGCTTTTAAGTGGAAAATGAGAATGGCATTACTATGCTCCATGTAGTTGTCAGCAGGGCTATTTCAAACTCGTCAAAAACGGAAGTGATGGAAGGCTGCAACCAAGAGATGTCATTCGTTAGCCAAATAATTGAGATAAAAGTGATTCTTTTAGCCTCCGAACTTATGCTAGTGAACATTACAATTTTGATTCGTGTTCGACATTTTGTAAGCGTGGGTATGTTACGTTTTAGTGAAACTCCAGACTAATGAAGGTTCTACTATATTGCTTGTTCTTCCGTGCAATCATTATCTCAATAGCTGATCGGGATTGCTATTATGGGTATTTCTTTTCTGGATAACACGGATATGGACACGGAATTAGACCATAGCGAAAATTTGGACCCTATGGTTCATTTGGATCTTTCGGCGACTAAGGGTCGCGATGGGGAATTTGGCAACCAAAGATATCATCTATTCATGAGTGCTCTTTAAGGAGCTGCTATTGCAGCTTTGCTTGGTCTTTTGTCTGATAAATTACAAATATTTCCTTAACTCACACAAAACAGCTGTTCAACCCTTGTATGCTTCCATGTAGCCAAGAAATATATGTTTTATAAAAATGCCACCAACTGTACATAGACTTGTTTGCACACTGTTTTAGCAATGTATCTGTATACAAATGTGTACGCTTATGTATATGCCAGAATATATATATATACATGTATGCATATATGTGTATATTAGCTGAAGCTACAGTTAGGTGCAATAATTTAGGCGAGATTAAGCCAACGAGCCGTTACCACTATGAAGTTTACAAATGGCAGCTAATATTCTCATAATACCGTTGTTTTCATAATATAACACATGGGAGATTGTGTTGTTCGCTTTCGTCTTAGAAAGCTCACCTGTAGACGTACATTTAGATGGTTTCTTAGAAATCCTTTGAAACGACTGTTTACCTGAGGACTATCGATGAAGAACCAGTTGCAGCCATGACGAAGAACACTGTGGAATTATCTAGATTCTTTTCTTTAAAGACGATTTTTTATAGCGTGCTAGGAATACTAAGAAGATCTACCTGTCTTTTACAGGAAGGAGCGGCTTTTTTTAAACGCTGCGTAACCGAAGGGACGCTCGAAAAAACTGCTTATTGGAATGACAGGTCATTCCTTTATTGCATTCGTATGAAATCGGCTGGAAAATTTTATTAAGCTTATTACTGTAAAAGAGAACCATACGACAATTTATTGCATCCAAAAACTCCTACCTTTCAAATTCCATATCCATGTGTTCCCGAAATTGGAACCTCCATAGGATGGCTTAAAACCATTAATTCGCATATCAGAGCGTCACTTTGAAGGTAGCCGTCAAAGTTAAAAGCAACGTTCGATCAGACGAAAGCACGAATTGTAGTTTTTGTTCCATTTTTCTAATTTCTATGGTGCCTATTTATCAGGGATGATTTCAAAACAAAAAACATTATTACATGAACCATTCACCCACTTACGCTGCCACGCGATTAGGGGTGCCCCTGCGACGCTCATCGCTTGATCCTGCGCCCAAAGCTTGCCAAGCCTTCACTGCAACTTCCTGCTTAAAAAATTGGCAGTGACCACATCTGTACAGATAAAAGCACTGATCTAATGTATCCGCCACAAGTCTTTGTATCGAGCGAATATGCGCCAAATTTTTTCCCTGTGCTAGCTAAAAGGACACCTCTTGCACAGCGGCCATGTGAAGTTAATGATATCGAATTTTCAGTGAAACAAGAAAAAACAATGAAGAGGAACTACGAAAGACTTCGCCAGACGATATTGGAAATAAGATAAACTTTCGCCTCCCGTAGCTGGCCTCAAATATATTTTATTCAACTTACGTGTTGCTAGCTTCGCAAAAAAAAAAGCAAAGAAAAACAAAAAACAAACAGAGGAACAATGTCAGCGCTTTACCAGTTTA